GGGGGGGGGGGGGGTTGCAAAAAGACAGGGGTGTATCTGCAAAGACAGAGAACCCGGTCTGATGCAAACAGACGCGACCCGGGACGGCGTCGCACCCACGGACACCTGCCACGTCTGCATCCCTCGAAGGGAGAGCCGAAAGGGAGCGTGGCTTTAGGGGGATGGGATGCGCCCGGCCGCTGTGGCCCATCGGGTGTCCTCCCGCCTGCTGAAAGGCCAGCGGTTCCCTTCCAGGGCCGGGCGCGGGCCCCGGTTTCGCCTTGGTCCCCGGGAGGGGCTGCGGGACGTGGAGAGCCACGTGTCTCTCTCACACCACATTCCNACATTCCCCCCCCCCCGCCTTCCCCTCTCTCTAAAAACACCCCCGCGTGGGGATGAACACCTACACCGCCCCAGTGCATTTTAGAAAACGGGTGAGCTGAGAAGGGAGGCGAGCCAGCAGAGCCGAAAACGAGGGGGGAAACTGAGGCACGCGACACCGTCATTAGAAATCCCATCGGCAAAGTCCCCGGGGGCGGGACGCAGGGGACCCGACAGGGGGCGAGAAGACAGAAAATACCGGGGATGCCAGGCTCACAGGCAAAGCCAGGAACGCGGCCAAAGCCGGCGATGGGCGGAGGGACGGCCGGAGAGCCGAACACGCGGATCACCGGAGCCCTCGGGCTGACGCTGAGACGCACGGGGCGGCGAAAGGAGGTTTTCAGCGGTTGGCACGGAAAACACAGTCATTAATAAATCATAACACAAGAATAAACTGTGTTTCGCACGCCCCACGTGTGTTTAGCGGAGAGAAACATCTGTGTCAGTTTCCCCGGAACCAGGAGGAGCTAAACCCGCAGACAGCAAAGAGGTGCGGGCCCGGGGAGCCCCGCTTCCACACGGCCGACATCGACGCCTATTCTGGTTCCAGTTCTGATCTCTGAGGGTCAGGGAAGAATTGTTCTTGAGTCACCTACAGGGAGGAAGGGGAAGGGGGACTGCAGACCCTCCCTGGTGACACAATCACAGGAAGGCAGCCAGCCAATGCTGCCTGCAAACTTCTGGGGGGTTGGATATTAGGCCCCCCAAGTTGTCATTCAAATGTAAAGGCCACGGGCGTTCTCCAATGAAAGGAGCCAAGGGAGGCGCAAAGAGGGGTCCTTCCTGAAAAACCCAGAACCATCCACGCGACCGCGAAATCAGGCGACGAACGAAAACGAGCGATTCCCGGAGAGGCGGGCGGATGCCCTCGCGGGGCTCCCCGGCCACGCTCGGCCCGCAAAGTGAAGCCAGCGTGCGGGGCACCCGGGCCACGGGGCACAGTGTCAACACCACAGACCACGACAGGGCAAAATCCCGCGTGAAGCAGGCCAGGAAGAGGCGGGGAGGTCTGCAGGCCTCGGACTTCACGACAAAGGCCGTCTGCTCGGTCCTGTCCCCAGACTGAGACAAGCAGGCTGTGACTTTATCCCAAGAAATGGCCGTTCCTTAAACGACTCCCAACGCCTTCCTCTTTCCTTGATGTCAGCGGGTTTTGTTAGGACGGTTTAGGTGCTTCACTTCGGCTCCTTCCTCTGAGACGTCGGAATAAAACTGAATGTGGTCATTTTAATGCCGTGGATGGTGTGATCCTATCCTCCTAACAATGCCTTCTTCCTGACTGTAGTCTGGGGGGGACGGCAGAGTTGGCTTGAGTTTGGGGTGGCGAACATATATATGTAGCTTGCACTTAATAAGACGCAGTCATTCGTTTTAAAACTTTAAAACTATGCCAGAGCCCGGCCGGGCGTGGCTCAACGATTGAGCATCGACCTAGGATCCGGGCGATCAGGGTTCGATTCCCGATCAGGGCACATGCCCGGCTTGTGGGCTGCAGCCAATCAATGACTCTCTCATCATTGATGTTTCTACCTCTCTCCCTCTCCTTTCCTCTTTCTGAAATCAATAAAGATATATTTAAAATAAAAAAATAAAGAATAAACTAAAACTATGCCAGAGAGATGCGAGCATAGCGAATGGCAATACCAGCACCTAACAAAAACGGAATCCAGGAGAACCCATTACAAGGAGCAAAGAGGTATCTTTCGTGTTGATGAAAGGCCCAAGTCTCCAAGAAAACATAATATTCCTGAACATGGTACCTACTAACACAGCTTCGACATCTGTAAAGCAGAAGTAGATAGAGCGCAATGAAAATCCGATGAAAAACACACATATCGGGAGATAGATTTTAACACACCTGCCTCAGAAATCAACCTCTGTGGAGGCGACCAGACCACATAAAAATGTGTATTATTTAAATAACACAATTAATAAATGATCTCATAGGTATATACAGAATTTTGTATGGAACAAACAGAACAGACATGTTTTTCAAACGCACTAAACGTGCTAAAAATGTGAGTATTCATTAACCCAAGAAATCTCGACAAATTTCCCCACGCCACCCCCCAAAAAACCCACACAAAACCAAAACAAACACCGGGAGAGCTGACCAACCGCATTCACTAACCATCATAAGAAACTCACAACAAAGGCGCCTTCTGAGAAAACTCTGGAAGCTTGTGGTCTCCGGGAAAGAACACAGCCCTTGGGGGTCTGACCATCGGTTCAAACTCCAGTTGGGCCACTCACCGGAGTTTCGTAACTTTGGAAAGGCCCTGAAGCTCCCTAAGCCTCAGTTTCCTCACCGTGAAGCGGGGCTAAAAAAGAACCTTCCCCTACGGGTTCCGCAAAACTTAAACTCAATAAATCTGAGAGTCCCGCCCTTGAGGAAACGTGTTAAGGAAGCCTCTCCAAAAAGCACAGACGCAAAAGATCACGGCTGAGGCCAGGTCACAGATCCAGAGCGGTAAACCGAGGCGCCAGGGGACCGACGCGGGGCGCAGTCTCCGGATCTCGACGCTCTCCACCTTCCAGATTCCCTGTGTGTCCCCGCGGGCCCCTCCCCGGCAGGAGCCCCTGGGGGGAAGGAGCAGGCTCTTACCTCCGCAGCTCACGCAGGCGGTGCAGCGGTTGTCCCCGCTCAGGTAGTAATCCTGCTCGCACTGCTTCCTGCAGTCAGACGGTCCCCGCGGGCACAGCTGCTGCAGGGCCAGCCCTGGGGAAAGAGCCAGAGAAGCTGCAGGCCAGGCCGCCCTGGCAAACCCTCAGAGGCCACCCCCTCCCCCAAACCCCAAGCACGTCAGTGCGACTCACACCTTCAACACTGTGACGGGCTCACGGGCATGTGACCCTTGCCAGCCAGTGAGCCCATCTCTGAGAGTGTCACAAAACTACCAGGAACGAGCCCCCCTTCTGTACTGGGTTCCCGCTTCAGAGGGCACTTTGGGCCCAGAGCTGCCCCGTCTTGGCGGCTGCAGCGTGGGCGCCGTCTACCTGGGAAGGAGGCGGCTCAGAGGCCACCAGAGGCCACGGACACCGAGAAATGACTCCTGATGACATCATTCAAACCCGAATCAATGGATTTTCTCCGTTACCGAGCCAACTACTGTTTTCTTCTTATTATTATTTTTTAATATATCTTTATTGGTTTCAGAGAGAGGAAAGAAGAGGGGGAGAGAGAGAGAAACATCAGTGACGAGAGAGCCATTGATCGGCTGCCTCCTGCACGCCCCCTGCTGGGGATCGAGCCCGCAACCCGGACACGCGCCCTGCCCGGGAATCGAACCGCGATCTCCTGGATCCTAGGCCGATGCGAAACCCCGGAGCCACGCCGGCCGGACGAGCCAGCTGTTTCTCTCTTGTCTCGTTTGGGCCTGAGTTAGGCTTCTGTTAGTTACACCCCAGGGACTCTGGGCCAGGGCTTCTGAGCATTTCCTGTGCCCCTGAGTCATCCAGGGGAAGCCTGGGGACAGGGCTCGGGGCGAGGTTGCTAAGTGCAGAGTGAACAGAATTCGAGGCCCAGAGGGACTCGCTTGGTGGCGGGATTTTTCCCACCCAGCTCGCATGTAGCGAGCGCCCCCCTGGCGCCCACGCTGATTTAGAGATTGGAGGAGATGGGGACCCTGCTCCCGTGGACCTCACGCTCTAGCCTGGGAAAGAGAAATGGGCAAGCCGGTTTCCAGCATGGGTGCAGACTAAAGAGAGTATAGCAGCAGAAAGAGAGGGAAAGGTGGGGGGAGTGGAGAGGGAGCCCTAGAGGTGGTCCGGTGGCCTCGCCGCGCCCCGAGGACTGAAGGAGGCTGGGGGAGCTTTCTGGGCAGAGGGCACTGTGAGTGCAAGGCCCTGGGGGAGGCCCAGGCTCGGAGTGTGTGCAGAGAACATAAAGGCCCAGGGCCTGGAGCAGACGGAGCAGAAGAATTATGACTGTTTCCTCATTTCTCTTTCCCTCGTTTCCCACATTCCACAGAGAGCTTCTCCACGATCACTTTCACAGTCAGAAACAGAAGTGGTTAATAAAGGCTCCCACACTGCGGTGATGCTCTTAGAGCTGGTCCCCAGGTGTCCTGTCCTGACCAGCCTCCAGCCACATTCTGCTCCCAGTCCCAGATCAGTGCCTTTCCCACTCCAAATGTTCTGTCTGTCCTAACGTTTCCGTCACTGCCTTCACCTCTGGCTCAGTTTTGGGGTTGTTAGGCCACCGCAGTGGGGGGGGAAGCTTCATTGGCCCCAGAAACTGCCCTCACTGAGTCTGAGCCTCCTGCCTCGCCCCCTCCCCTCTCCCACTCCCTTTCTCACCCTGTGCTTCCAACACATGGAACTCCAGCAGGCTCTTGAGTGGCCTCTCCGCGCCCACTCCATGCCTTGGCATACTCTGTGCCCTCCGACCAGAGCACACCTCCACGCCTCGGCCCGACACACTCCTGCTCATCCTCAGGACTCCTTCAGAGGCTGGTTCCTCAAGGAAGCCCCCCTGAATGCTCCCACTAGGCCAGGTCCCCCAGGGGTGTGTCCCCACAACCCCCAGCAACCCTGCCCTAGATTCTAATGGCCTGTTTAGCAGACAGATGTCGCAAGGGCTTCCCAGCCCACAGGTCCCACCCCTCCCCCAGCAACAGTCCAGGGCAGTCCTGGCTTTGGGGCCAGAGCAGAGGCGAACATCCGGACTCAGCTGAGCCATCAGATGCTTTCTCCTTGGTTTTGGAATTGGGGCCAAAAGAGGTTTGTCTGGCGTTTGCCCTGCTTCCCTGGAGAACTGCAGATGCGGAAGGGAGCTGTGGGCCAGCCAAGCTTGGCCCAGGGCAGGGAAGACAAGGAGGACTCCTCCTCCTTCCTGCTCACGGCCCTTGGAGAAACCCTCGGCTCCTGGGTCAATGTGGGATACACTGGCTTAGCCCCAAACAAGCCATGCTCTCTGCTTAACACCAGGCCTGGCTGCACATGGTCCCCCTGGGCAGGTCTTGCCCATCTGCAGGGAGGCCCCTCCCCATGGGCAGCGAGTCTGATCCAGGGAGCAGGGTGCAAAATAGTGAGGGGCTTGGGCTCTCCTCTGAGGTGCTCTGCTGCCTCCCAGATGCGATGCCATGGGGGTCAGCACCGAATACAACCAAAGGGCTTGGGGTTCCGATTAGATGCCATATTCGAGCCCCACCTGAGCCACTTACTAGCCTGTGACCATGGGCAGATCCCTGAACCCCCCTCTAGGTTTCCTATCTGGTCCAGTGAGCTAATATGTAGGTAAAGTACTCAGCACTGTGGCTGGCATGGAGCACGCTCCACCAATGTCACTCACTGCCATTGCTACGAATCAGTGAGTGAGCTCCCCATCACTGAGGGTGTGTAAGCAGAGGGCTGGGGATCAGCTGTCAAGGATGCTAAAAAGGGCATTAGAAAGGCCTGGGTTAGAGGAGGGATTTGAAGACACCTAAACTTCTCAGTTTCAAAGGTCCCCCTGTTTCCTTCCTCCACCGACCCGCCCCCGCGCAAACCCTGCCACACAGCTGAGCGCTGATGGCAGAGGGCCGGCAAAATGTCAGAAATTTCCCCAAGAGACTGAGGAAGGGGGTTTTGCGGGTTTTTTGTTTTTCCTCTCTTGCCTGCCCGGAAGCACAGAGTCAATAAAACTCCACCAAAATGCCCCTCCCACCACAGCGACACGAGGCAGGTACTCAGCCGCCCCCAGTCACCGGGCCTTGCAGAAGGAACGTGGGGGAAAGGGAGCCCCCTCTTCCCAAGTCACAGTGTCTAAGTGGCGGGAGCCTGGGACTAGGACGTCACTCTGTGTCCACCCACTTTCTGTCAAGGCCCCACCAGGCTGGGCCATGGGGGCCGGAGAACGCGAGAAGGAAGTGGCTGTCTTCTTGCAGACAGACCGTGGGTCCCGTGGAAAGTCACGGAGCAAGAAGCCTGACTGCACTTGGCCTGGGGAGATGCAGTGTGCAACCAGCCGCCCGGCATTGGGCTGGCGAGGGCAGGCGTCCTGGAGGAAGGGGTGCCAGGACTGCGGCAGGTAGAGACAATGGGGGAGGGCCCCCCGGTGCCCACAGGCATGTACAAAGGCCCAGAGACTAGAAAGCTCACGGTGGGTTCAGAGGACACCGAGCATAGCAGCTCCTGTAGAAAGGCCAAGGAGAGAAAGCTGGGAAGGTGGCGGGTGACCTCACTGTAAGACGGGGCAACAACCGTTCGACAGATGCGTGGAAGGGTGGGTGAAAGGGGGCAGGGGAGGAAGGGGAGGAGGGGAGCAGAGATGGGAGGGAGTGGTCCTATGGACTGAATTGTGTCCCCTCCAAATTCCTGTGTTGGAGCCCTAACCCCCAGTGGGGCTATATTTGGAGACAGGGCTTTTAGGAGGTCATTAAGGTTAAATGAGGTCAGAAGGATGGAGCCCGGGTCCGCAGGATTGGTGGCCTTATTAGACAAGAAAGAGAGAGTTCTCTCTCCGTCTCAGCCACGAGAAGGCAGCTGTCTGAAAGCCAAGAGGAGATTTCTCACCAGAAACCAAACCCTGCCAGCACCTCGATCTTGGACTTGTAGCCTCCAGAACTGTGAGAAAATAAATGCGTGTTGTTTAAATCCCCCAGTCTCTGGTATTTCCTATGGCAGCCTGAGCAGACTGGGACAGACGGGTAGATGGATAGAGGAGGGGTGGCCGAAAGAATGGGAAGAGGGATGGGAGAGGAGGGAGGGGAAGGAGGGGACCCGAGGAGACGGCAGGAGGGCCAGGGGACGAGCTAGTGGGTGGGTGAAAGGAGAGGCGGGTAGACAGGCAGGTGCATGGGTGGGTGGCCAGCCAGTTAGGCACTGAGGCCCCAAGCTCTGAAAAAAGCACAGGGACCCACCTTATATATATTCAAACCCAACACTAAATCACAAAATAAAGGCAGGAAAAGCTCATACAGTTCTACTTTCTTCCCTATAATGACTGCTCTGAATAATTTTTGGAAATAGAAATTATCACTCTTTCCCTAAATGTTTTTCTCGGTCCTTTGTTGGCCTGAGCATGGGCTCTGCTTGGCCCTCACGGTCCGGGGACAGGTTGGCCAGGGTTCCGGCCCAGCTCGGGCCACATACCCTTAGTGATCTTGTGCATCATGGCCTGTCACCCTCCGGACAGCAATGCTGGGAGGCTTAGAGGACGGGCGTCCAGGCCTAGAAACGAAGGGTGGTCAAGGGATATGGACAGCCCGGACTCTGGGGTCACGGAACCCTGGGCTCCAGCCCCAGCCAGTTCTGCCATTTCCCAGCTCGTGGCCTTGGGCAAGTTACTTAACCTTGGAGCACCCCAATAGCCTCATCTGCAAAATGGAAATAATAAAGGGTAATTGTGAGGATCTGATGAGATGATGCAACACATGCGAAGGTCTCAGGCTAGCGTATGTAGAACATGTTCTATAAGGGGCAGCGATTAATTAAAAACAGGAACTCACGTGGGACGGCCTTCAGAACCCATAGTCAACATGACCATGACGATGTTGACTCCGGTCTTCCCCACGCCCCAACCCCCTTCTCTTAGCCCCAGCACCCCCACTTACCCACAGGACAGCGGTAACAGCACCTCCCGGCAGCCTTGTTGTAGTAGCGGCTGGGGTCTCCAGCACAGGGGTCCGTGGGGGATCGACCCTGGAGGGTAGGACAAACCAGTGAGACCCGGTGGGTCCCAGACACCCATCCTCCCTCCAGGCCCTCAGGTCCTAGGGGGCTGGGTCCCCACTCACTGTCAAGGCCAGGCCTGAGCCCAAGCCTCATGTTACAGAGGAGAAACCAGGCCGCAGACACCTGGTCTCACATCTCCTCCGACGGGGCCAGCCCTCACCCCTCAGGCCAGACGCCTGGGAGGCCCCTGACTCTCCCCTCCCCTCGGGCTCACATCCAACCCTCCA